CTCCACATTCCATATCAATTACCTACAAACGTGGAAAATATCGGGGACAGTCTACCTACTTTTGTCTCTGCTCTATGTGCAATTTCAATGACTTTCATCTCACATGTGAGGTCACTGAGTCCTGGAGACTTACAGAGACGTCCAGAGCCATATTGTACAAGGCCTGAATAGAACACGGACAGAATAACAGACTCTGACCTCTTCTCTTCCACACTACATTGCCTCTCGAAACTGATCAGTTCTAGAGATTTCCAGCATGAATTTAACAATGTGCAACCCCTCAGTGGGAAGAAAAGTGATGCTTATAATGGGGAAGTATTTGACCCAAGTCACAAAACAAGTGTAAGAACTGGGACATAGACTCAGGTCCTTCTAGCTGTAAATTTGTTATCTTCAGCGATTTATTCACCACTATTTATAAATCCCTTTCACAACATCCTTGCCTCTTTTTCATTTTCCTTGTACTTTATTTCTTGTATCACATCTTGGTGCTGTTTCAAGCACCCTGTAAGGATGGATCTTAAAGAGAATGGATAACATCTTTGTATTATTTATATCCCCAGGGCAGGGATTCACAAACACTTATTAAATGAATAGATGGTGTGAAAACATAGTAAAAATCTATTCCACATAAATTGGAAGACTTTGGTGTGCTGGGAAAAGGTGCAGCTATTTTTATCTGATGCTGTGTAATTTAGGACTTCATATTAAAATAAGTATTAGTTATTATGTGAATATTAGAAGACAGAATATAAACTCATGTGATGTTAAAGATTGCAGTGTGATGTTTCAAAGTAACGTTCACTTTGAACAGGCCTCTCTCTGCTAAGCCTTCAACCCTTTGGGAGTGTACCTTCCTACTCACCATAATTACGAGTACTTTGTTGTAAACACCAGCCAAGTACTGACCGTGACCCTCCTCACTCACATTTGAGTAATATAGGAAACTTGAAAAAACTACTGTAGATGCCCTAAGATGTTTTTAAAACTATGCACTCAGTCACTTTCCTTGAATTTCTTGGCACCAAAGAATTACTCTCAAGTGCAAACAAAGGCACTGAAATTAAGTCACAGTTTCCCTATCCAGTGGCTGTCCAGAGAACACAGAACATGCCTCATTAGCAATATTTTCATACATGAAGACACAAAATTCACAAATTATCTTAGTACCCAAGAATATATTTCCAATCCTACCCAGGGCTATTTGCCATTAATCCAAAACCTCACTTAAGCTATAACTTCAGCCTTTTCTCCCTTAAAGCTTTCTAGCCAACTTGTTAACAGGGGTTAATATGTACCTACATTAACCAAATGAACTTCTCCCATGTTCTCTTCACCCTCCTGCCTGAGAGAAGTGAAACTAGATATTATTAAAGGGAAGCCAACAAATCAGTTACTTGGAAAACAGAAAGAGAGAAACCAAAATCCTGGAAAACCCACCTTATAGAGATACTCAGTGCCTGAATAATTAGGAATTTGCTCTAATGCTGTATTATTCCAGACAACATGTGTGGACAAGGATGTGGAGCAATCAGAACCCTCTTATGTGGCTGGTACAGATGTAAATGGTGCAGCTTAGGAAACAATTTGTCATCTCCTCAAAATATTAAATATGTTATCATATGATCCCGTCATTTCGTTCTAGGTACATACCCAAGAGAATCAAAAACATATGTTTGCACAAAAACTTGTACATGAATGTTTATAGCACTATTATTCTTAATAAGTCAAAAAAATGAAAGTAAACTAAATATCCATCAAGTGCTGAAGGGCTAAATAAATACAATACACCCATCGATCTGAATGATTTGGCCACAGAAAGGAACTACTGATACATGCTGCACATGGGTGAACCTTGAAAATATTATCATAAGTGACAGCAGTCACAACAGCCACATATTACATGCTACCTTTCACATGAATGTCACGAACGGGCAAATCCACAGAGAGGGAAAGTCGACTACTGTTTGCCAGAGGCTGGGGGAGGGAAAATGGGAAACTTTGAAAAAGTTGTTATTGTCCACTTGCCATGAATTTAGTCATAATTCATCCTTACAAGATGTACTGTTTTGCCTCCTGCTCCAGTATAAAGACATTTTGCAACTGTCCTTCAAATAAGAAAAGCATTGTGAGCTGCTGATATAGGTACAGATGAAATCATTGATTAATGGCCTGAGGGTGGGGTCAAGATTCCACACACCTTTAAACAGGCAGAATTTTTAACAGGGAACAAATGATTCAGCCAGAGAATAAACAGCAGTGTTAGAAGAGGAAATCCTTGTCCTTCCAACCAAATGCAGCACACCAAGTCAGTTCGTGGGAAACACTGACTATGCAGTGATTAGCAGGACTACAGTTCTAAAACTGTTAGCAGTTAGGATATAAAATAATCATCTTTTAAAGTCATTGAGGGGGAGAGGTTGGATGAGGAGTCAGGAATCCATTTCCATGATCCATGAATCGTGCGCATGCCCACAGGAACCAACGGCAGCAAGTGCCTAGAGCACCCCACCTGCCTCCCAGCCGTGCCTCTCGTCTTTCACAGGACTGGCACTCTCTGCCAGTGGCTCTTAATGTTTCCAACAATGCCCTCCTGCAAAGAGCCTGGGACCTCTCCTCTCCAGTCCCCACCCTGCTCTTGCAGGTCACAAAGAGAAGAGAAATCTCAAAGTGATTTTAACTGCACTGGACTTCTCTTTTCCATCCTTTTTAAAAAAACATACGTTTTGAATGATGCAAAGTAGATGTACACTTAAATCCTTTTATATACCGGCACTCATCTGACACGTGTGCATTTCAGCTCACTCTATGGATACTGCAGTCTCCCCGTCTAGAACCTCTGTTCTGTGAACCCCTCCCTGTGTGCAGGTGAAGCGGCTGCAGCTCAAGTAACTGTCAGGCAGCAAAGATTAATGAGGGGCCAGCAAGGACTCTGCTGTTGAAATACAGATGCAAAGATGGGCAGGTGGCCTGGAACATGAACAGCTGACAGTGTAAGTCTCCTCTATAAATTCTTCTGAATTGCTGCTTCTCTTTTTTATGTTTCTACCATCCTCAGAACCTCCTAGATTTATCTCAACATATTTTAATTCTCTGATTACTCATCTCACTGCGCACCAGCTGGAAACTATGAGGGACAAGACCACATATACTTGTTCACTGTAGCTTCATCGCCCAGCTCAGGGTCTGACACGCAGTGGTGTGCTGAGCGAGTGAAGCTAATCTGGCTTCTGCCTCCCTAAGTCCTTGAAACTGCTCTTGCTATTTTTGCCAACGCCGGCTCAGTGCCAAACTGGGTGCACCCTTCTCAGAGAGAACCGATCTTCCCTGTGGCCTCAGACACTGTAACTATTGGTGCTTCTCCAGGTTTCTGAGATGCCACTGTTCCCAGAGACTTCTTGTTCCTGTTTCGGTCTTCTCTGCTCACTCCCACGGTTCCAAGTACAGCTTGCTTTTCCAGATACTTGGGCCTGGACAGCCCATCACGTAACTTCTCAGCTCCTGCTGACACTCTACCACCAGGAGCATCTTCAGCAGGATGCACCTCTCACACTCAAATTCAACCAAAGCCAAGTCCTCCTCCTGACAGTCCCCCAACACAAACACAATCTCACTCACTCTTCTGTCGCACTGCCTCGGTTCTCCCGGGTCAGCCCTGCAGCCTTAACAACACTGGACTTCTCCATCTCTTTCCCACATTCCTACCTGATTTCCACCTGACTCCCCAGGTCTCTGGATTCACACGCTCAGGTCCTCTTCCTCCGCCACCCCCGGATCTGAGGGCTATATTACTTCCCACCAAGATCTGTTATCAGTTTCCCATTTTGCTACCATCCAATCCATTCAATGCCCAGGTGCCGAGCAGTTTCCTGAAGTGCATCCCCAGTTACAGTCAACAACCTATTCAAGTTTCAAGGTCTCCTGTCACTTCCAGGATTAAAGTCGGTCTCAGGCTGGCCTTAGAGTTCCCATCATTCATACACACTCTTATTTTCAACTGTTTCCAGAAACCGTAAGGAACTCCTGTGACATGCAAGGCTCAGTGCTTAGTGCTTGACAACAGCAGGAAGAATAATGAATCATTTCCTCCCGTGTTACCCCCATACAGATGCTCTAGGCCTCTGTCAGCCGGGACTACCTTCTGGTCTCTGAAATGCCTTCTGCTCCCTTGCCTCTGTGTACCCTGTTCAGCCACGTGGGAGGCCTTCAAGATCTGCCCCACATGACACCCGGTCTACAGCCAAATCTCCCCTTGCTTCTCCACGACCCTGGCCCCAATCACACCCTGGAGGGCAAAGGCAAGCTTTGGAACCTGTGGCAGGTACACAGTCCCTAGGGGACCCAGTCCCGGGGAGAGGACAGCCGTGCTATTGATCCTTCTCTAGGTTTGGTTTTGTTCCACACCCAAGAGCCCGCCACATCCAATACACACTAGCAGCCAGAACTTCGGGTCCCGACTCAAAAGAAACACAGGTGTTCACGAGGTATTTGGAGTCAGGAGGGACAGTGAGAGGTGGGGCTGTGGGAGGGCTGGAGGTGAGGAGCAGGGGTGGGACATTGACATCCTGAGGAACAGTTAGAGTGAGGAGGAGACAGCAGAGCTGGCATGACCGGAAGGATGGAAGCCAACTAGGAGAGCGGGCGGCGCAGGCTCCAAGGAGACAGAAATTAACCACAGGGCTGCAGGGAATCAGGAAGCACCAAAAAAAGGCCGGTGACCTAAAAATTAAGAGACCGCTGTTTCATCAGAATGTACGTTCATTACTTGGATGACGCACACCCAATGACATCCAACGAAAGGCTTTGGGAATAAAGGCACAGTGAGGAAGGGGCGCTGTGCCCCAAGCACCTGACAGACTTCTGCAAGAGGGGGGCAAAGACTGTGTGCTGACGAAGCCAGCTGAGAAGTGGAGACTGCTGGGACTACTCAGGAAAGCAGTCACCCACCAACGGAGACCTGTAAACGACGTCACCAAACCCCAGGAACGACTCATACACACCTGTGCGGCAGCGATGACTCTGAAACAGTAGTAGTCTGGTTTGCCTACGGTATTCCCCTTTCTTCAGACAGTGAAGGAAATAATGGCCTCTGAAGCCTGGAAGTGCATGACCAGTGACAGCACAGGTGACACTCTGAAAAAAGTAGGTTCCTGCCAAAAGTGACATAACATAGAACGTGGCGTTTGCTGAAAGAGCCTCCTCAAGGAAAGGGATTAATAAAAAGCTCCCTGCTGACTCTGCTGTTTGCATAAGCCCACACCTACACATGTGACCCACACTAAGGTTCTTCTCACTCCACAAGCATATTAAGTGTGCCTTTGTGGAAATGTAACTGCTTTCTTGATAAATTAGTCTATTTCCTGAGGATATATAAAAGCCAAACGCACTACCTCCTATCCTATCTTTTGGTATTGCTTTCTTTTTCTCTCAATTTGATTTTTTTTCAATAGTCTGTCGCCCATTTCAACGAGTTGCCCTGTGGAGCACTTCTCTCTAAAACCTGTATTTCCCATGCAGAAAACATATGTGCCTGCTGCATTCCTTTGCTTGGCTTTTGCTTCCTGAAATTTCAGGCTGAGAGAATTCCTAAAAGTTAAATTCTCTCTAGCTATTGGACTGACCACAGCAGCATGACTTAGAATGTGATGACAACCTAGAATCGTTTACACTGGCATCTTAAGTCCCAGCACGTGGCTAAAGTTCTACTTGTGCTCAGTTCTGGGACCCTGGGGTATTGTGCTGTCATCAGTTTTGCAGGGCTGGTGGTCCTGGTCCCTGTCTCGCGGCCTGTTCTGTTCAGAAGACTACCATCAGCTCCGGCAACCACATGACATGGGGCTTGGCATACACTGGATATACCATAACTTCCGTCCTCAGTCACACTATTAGTTTCTAATGGCTGGTGTGGCATCTATAATTTCCATGGGCTTACTCCATACCTTCTTAATGTCCCTGTAATTAACTCCACATCATGTGAGCAGGTAGAGGAAGAATGACTTCTCCACTCCCACAGGTAAATTGTAACATCTACATTTCTCCATTGGGTGGTGGTGATTGGTAATTTTATGTGCCACAGATCAGATATGTATATAGATACGTATGTACACACACATACATGTTATTGGTTCTGTTTCTCTGGAGCTTTATTATACCCAGGCTAGTAGAAACCTTCAACGGGATGCATCATATGATCTTTAAATGTCATGTCTCTTATGTTAAAACCAATGATTTGCTTAAGGTTTCTGAAATGAGACCATATTAAAGGACTAGATATACAGCACTGTCAACACTCGTGATGTCAAAAATTATAGAAGGCTATTAATGGACTTAAAATTAAAGGAGTAATTATTTCCAGAGGTAATATAAGTCATAACTTAATTTAGCCCTTTCAAATCCAGAGCCTTAATTCTCTGCACTGGTTTATTTCTCACTGAATGGATCTCCAGGTAGCTTTAGAATAAATTATAGCCTTGAATCAGGAAAATCTAAATGGGCCCCTAAAAGTTATGCTCATGGCAGCACATTGACAATAAATAAAGTCCCTTGTGAAAAAAAATCTTTCATAAAGCAAGCAGTAAAATTTTACTGAGTGTCTATCACTGGGTGGGAAACCATTATAAACAAAAGCATTCATTGTACAGTCTTTTGTAACACAAATTAGCATCTACTCAGCATCACAAACACATGTCACAGTGAGGTGCACCGGTCTCCATCATTAGGAAAGGCTTCTATTAAGTTACATATGGGTGGAAGGGAAGATTGCCCAAATCAGTCATGAATATAATTATACTGTAGATGCCCTGGTAAAGCAAACACAGTGGTACACGAATGCGCTTCAAAAGACGATTCCCAGGGCCTGGCCTGAAAGGCATTCGCTCTGTCCTGAGGAACAACTAATACACCATCTCAAATTCTGTAATAGTAAAGCAAAGGTCACTTTGAGTAGACTCCACCACCTGACCTCAAACACGGAACAATAAACAATGGATTTTCTTCCTTTAACTCTGCTCTTCATTAAGGTAACTAAAGAACTATTTCACTTAAAAACAACAGACTGGCCCCATCCTACCTTTCCAAGTCTTTAAAAGGCCACTGAAGAGGTCACACCACAGTAGGCATGATTTTATTTTAGGGTCAGTTGCTCAGCAGGAGCCCTCAGACCATGAAATCACCAGAGCTCTGACCTCTGAGCTGCAGAGAAGACAAAAGCCCACCCGTGTGATTTGTAATTCACGCTGTTGCCCGGCACTAAGTTAATATATAACAACAATTACACATCAGAGGGAAAAAACCAGCAAGTTAAATATACACTCTAGAAACTCTAAAACTGGCAACAAGAAAGTGGTAATCTCTGCAATGTGGTTGGCATAGTTGTATGTTTTCCCCCCATTTTCCCACATCCATGAGGACACTGCTTGTGCCTCAGTGGTTCACGGACTGATGATGGCTGGGCCCACCTCTGATCTGCTGACAGGTTCAGGTTCTGCTGAGCTGAGTGGTTTGGGCTTCAGCAGAAAGGCAGTCTGACTACTTGGGTTTAGCTGGAACCAAAACTCTTTCCCAGAGAATTTTCCACATGAAATTTCAACATCCAAATGTATTTATCATCTATTTATCAAAATAAGTCATTCTCAGTAAGCACTAATACCAGTCACCTATTCAAAATCAGTCATTCAACATGGCTGTCAACGTAAGCCCCAGAGCAGGAAGCCACAGAGCTGTAGCCTCTCCCACCGGGCACTCGCTCTGTGTCTCCTTTCACAACAGTCCTATGGCGGAAATTAGCTTTTCTGGGTGACTTGACACCCAGAATCTCACTGAGCTTCAGTCTCCCTTATACAGTGGGAGTAATAATGTCTGCTCGATGTGTTACATGTAGGAAGTGAACCAATATATAAAAAATCTGAGTAGCAGCACCATTTCAGAAGAAGCTGACAGGATTAATTTTTTTAAATCACACTGAGCAAAATCAAGATGAGAATGAACGCTCCAAGTTTCTAACCTCAGTGTGGAGAGGAAGGCGTCCGCTCTCTGCCCCTCAGTGCAGATGCGCTGACAGGTCAATGTCATGTGAGCCAATGGAAAACATTCTAGGTAATGAAAGCCTCGATCGACTAGAGCTCTACGAAAATTTTCCACACAACAGGAGTTCCAGCTTTGGGACATTGCGCTTTTTTGTTACCAAGTTTAAGGTGTGATGCTGCCCTGATCAAGGGTTTCCGGTTCTGCTGTCAATCTTGGGTTTGGTCTGATGGCAGTTTTCCACATGCAAGTAGTGAGGAATTAATTACATCTGCCCTGAAGGGAATTTGTATTCATTATACTTGACTTACATTTCAAAAATACGTGTTCAATATATGGGATTTTTGTATTGGAAACATTGAGCTCTAAGCAATCTCAATATGCCAATGAAAGAAAACTAGATGAAAACATTTAAATTCAGCATGAAAGATAATACCAAGAGGGTACTGGAAATACTAATAATAACTTTAAAAAAAGGGCTTTAATCTTACTACTCTGAAGTCATACATGTACGTAGAAATATTTCTGTACCTTTTCTGGCAATGAATAAGGAGTACATGTGAGTAGGTGTCTTTCTTCAGAAGCCTCACACTTTCTATTCACAAATGCAACAATAACAATAACGGTGCCTGCTGTGTGCCACTATCCTCTGCAAGGGCAGTGCCACTACAGGGAACAATGCCACGACAGTCAGGGCAGTGGCTCCTGTGGGTTTTATGGGGTTTGGTTAATGGGTTAGGCTTTGTTTAACGGGCCTGACTGATGAAGTAGAACAACACAGTGCACTTTCTACTGCTAATGAAATCTGCACAACTAACTATATTGAACCCTATTAGAAACACACAAAATTGTCAGAAATTAAGTTTTTAAAAAACTGAAAGATAAGCTTAAGTTAGGACAAATACATAACTATAAAAGTATAGCATGGTGACCTTACTGATTTCACCTTTAAACCAACAGTGGTGAAAAGAACCCTTTCCACCTCTAAGACTCTCATCCTATCTAGAAATAGCTTTGCATCTCACCCAGCCAGCCTCCTTCTCAATGCAGGGTTCTTCCTACAGAAAAATGCCTGAAGAGTTTTCTACAAGTAGTTTAATAATTTCAATGAAACTTTTCACTCAAACACTTTTTAAGTCCCAGACACCATACAAGGGGTTGATGATGAAGGATGTAAAGAACACAACTACTTAACATTCATCACTTACTAAATGCCAGTTCCTGTACTAAGTGCTTCTCATTGAGTATCTCTGAATCCTTGAAAGGACTCTCAGAAGCAGGTACTCATGCCTGTGATGCCAGGGCTCTTGTTCACCGTCAAAGAATGATGTAAGGAACACAACTACTTAACATTCATCACTTACTAAATGCCATTTCCTGTACGAAGTGCTTCTCATTGAGTATCTCTGAATCCTTGAAAGGACTCTCAGAAGCAGGTACTCATCCCTGTGATGCCAGGGCTCTTGTTCACAGAGTCAAAGAATGAACTTCGCAAACACTCAAGGTAGGAGAGCAAGGCAGAGGCTTTCATTTAGAGATAAAGTGAGAGGACAGAGCTCCTGGCTCAGGCCAGGAGGGGACAAGAGGGGCCTGGGGTGGTGCAGTCTAGGGGTTTGATAGGCGGTTGAAAGACAAAGGACTAGGGATGTACACCTGCTAAGTGGCCCCAAGATGTTTATCTCTGCAGAGGTATTAAGTTTCTTATTGATCTCCCTGGTTATTTACAATAAATTTTACTGCTCTGATTTCCTCCCAGGATAGCAGCTTCCTAGTCTGGGAGCATATCACTCAAGACTGCCTGCTTTTCTCCCAAGGTGGGCTGAGTTATTGTCTGTCTGTTAAAGAGTATGTTAAGAAACTTACTTTTTAACTAATTGGGTTTTAAAAATGCAATCTTATTTTCAAGATGGAATCCTTCCTGTTTTTACTACATTGTTTTGGGCTTGCTTGTTAATTGCCCAGGTTGCAAATCAGTTGACTAGGGCTGGAGGAAGAAAAGCAGCACCTGGGTAAAGTCAGAAAAATAAGCCAGGCCCCACAGCAGCCAAAGCAAATCTCACAATGGATTATGTTGCTTTGTTTTTTCAAGAGGCCCTCACTC